TTAATTTTTTTAACTGCAGAAAAAAAAATTTCAAAAGTTTCATTAAATAATATTAGTTATTAAATTAATAAGTTATAAAGTTTACTAATTGATTAGCTAAATATAAATAACTCAAAATAAATAAACAAATCTGTCTAGGATTTAACTCTCCATTGCATTTAACAATTACATAACAATTCTCTACAAGATTTAATAATTTCTCCTTTTTACAAGCATTTTTTGTTTTATCAATATTTTGAAAGTTCTTTTTGCCTATGCTGAATGATCTAAAGATTCTGTATGTCTTTTTACAACTAAACTTACATCTGCAAAAATTAGATTAGAAGTCTCAGTAGTTTCAGTATTTGTACTTGGACCAGCAAAGTCAATGTTGTTGGTCTCAATTGTATTTATAATACTGATAGGTGTATCTACATTATTTGAATTTAATCTATTATTTTTATTTATAAAAGGTGATATATTTGTTGAACATAAGCTTTTACCTGGGACAACACATACTTTACGTCGCTTAGGTTTTTTTAGAACCATCTGAAGGATCATCCAGTGACTTACATAAATGATCTAAAAATGATTGGCTTACTAAATCAGTAGTTGAGTCTAAACCTATATTACAACGTGGTAGTCGTGAAAGCACTTAAGACTTGTCTAATGGAAAAATTCCAGTTTTGGAAAACCAACTCTACCGTTATCATTCCCATGTTCACTTAAGTTGGTAATTAAACGGTCTAAAAATCTAAGAAATTCATCTTTAGGAAGAGAAGCAACTCTTCTTCCTTTTCCTTTCTCCTTCCATTCACATAATATTTTGCGCCAGTTAATCTTCATAGGTCTAAAGTAGGCAACATCTAATGGCTGCGTGAGATGTGTAGAGTTTGCTGGTAATGCCACAAATCCTATGTTATTGCTTTGACATGCATCCAGTACTGCAATGCTCAAATGTGAAGATACGTTATCACCTATAATGACACTTCTTCCTTGAGCCTTCTTAAGTCTTGGGAGAAGTAAAGAGAAAAACCAGTCCTTAAAACATATTGAGTCAAACCAACCACTTTTTGATTTGTTATAACGTGCTTTTGGTGGCTCATGTTCCATCCATGTATTCCATAACGACTCAGCTTTGTAAACAACATATGGTGGTACCAATTCACCATTAGCATTGCCACAAAACATTACAGAGAATGAGGTCTTTGTAGAATTAATGATGCGTTCAGGATACTTACATCCACGCTTTGTTAATTTTTTTTTTTACTTGGATCATCACTGAGATTGGTTTCATCATAATTTCATATATTATCAGGTGATATATTACTTATTTCATTTGATAGATTTATAAAGTAGTTATCAATCATAGTCGTTCCTATTTCTGCTCTCTTTCGCTTACTGTGAGTTCTGGATTTCTTTTTAAAAAAGATCGAATCCAATCGCCACCAGGAAAATTATTTTTGAACTGAGGTATAATGAAGCCTTTTTTCTCTAAATACCCTTTTACTATGCATCTTAAATCATATTTATCAACAGGAAAACCAAACTCAGATGATTTTATTGCATATGCCTTAAACATGTCTTCTTCTTTTGATGTAAATATTTGCTAACCACCATACATTTTAATATTTTTACCACCATACTTTTCAAAATTGCATTGCTACTAAAAAATTTTTCATTCCAACATAGTAACTACCATAATATCTATAAATGATCACTAAAAAAGGTTTACTCTAATACATGGGGTGACTTTAGCCCGGGCCAATGTCACCCTATGTAGTGGGCCAAAGACAACCTACTTTTTTTTAACCTCAATTACAAAAAAGTAATAAACTGTTAAGTTTTCAAAACAAGATAGAATCAAACACTAATGGTTTAAATTAATTCAGTGTATATTCCAATAAAAAACCTTCTATAGGTACTGCTATCGATGTAAAACTTTACACACCTAAAAAAATTCGGATTTTAGGTGCTTCTTCTAAAGTGCAATTTACAATAATATCACAAAGACTCGAGTTAAGTAAACTAAGTTAAACTAGATAAATAATAAATTTCCCACAATTTGCTACTAAACATCAACCGGCATACCTTAAGGTATAGATTTTAAACCATTTTTAAACAAAAATTTCTGTGGGGCAAAAGTCGTAAGTAGGGCCAAAGCCACCCAATTTTACGGTAGTTTTCTTTAAAGTAGTTGAAATACTTTGCTCTTCCAACTTTTATTGAAAAGTATTTTTCTTTAAACAGCCTATATAGTTTTAACATTTAATGTGGCATCTAGATAGCATATAGGCTTTCCAAGATAGTGGCTTTCTTTAGTTGGAAAGCTTTCAATACGCTGTCTGATAAAAAGTTTGATTTCTTCAGACAATACTTGTTTTATATGACGTCCTCTATTATCAACTGGGCTTTTCGCAATTATTTTCAAAGCTCGCAATCTTTCAACCCGTTTTTAAGTAACTGCATGTAAACTTAAAAAAGCTTTAAAACAAACCGGCATTCGATCAGAACCCACCATAATATGATACTTAAAGGTAGCACTTTTTTTTTTAGAACTGTCTTCCTTTCTGGGTCGTCTCTGCTTTACTTCTTGGGAATCAATCAAGGCTTGTAGGAACATATCTTGCTCATCTTTAGTGTTGAAGGCATGGAAATGGTTTAATATATCCATTTGATCCTCTTCATTAATAGACTCAAGACAGTTGTTTCTCTTGCAGCTGAAAAAACAAAAGATTATTTTATACTGTGTAAAATTTTTTACCTACAAATAAAATTTTAAAACTGTAAAACTATTCACTAATATTGAATACAAAATAACGTACCTGCAGGGAAAGCACACTTTTGAGGTACGGTATTTCCTTGGTAGTTAACATAATCTTCACCTTTTATTCTGGCAACCTTTACAATGTTTCTCTTCCAAAGACTTTGATCTGATTTCCTTTTCTTTGCTGAATTTTTCTCAAAAACCCCATCACTTTCATCTGAATTTATTTACATATTTCAAACTTATATATGATATAACATAAGACTAAGAAAACAAAACATAAAGTTAATTCCTATTTAGGGTAAGCTATATATAGTACAATAAACACAAGACTAAGAACACAAGACATAAAGTTAAATATAAACTTAATTTCAATTTAGGTTAATTTAGGTTTTTAGGTACTGTATAGCAGTGCAATAACATAAGACTAAAAACAAAAGATATAAAGTTAAATACAAAGTTAATTCCTATTTAGGTTAAGCTATACAGTTCAGTAAATTAAATAAAAACAACAACAGTTATCTGTTGCAGTCAATTGCGTAGTTACGTCTACAGACGGCATAAGATGATTTTTTATGCTAAAAGGGGGTAAGTCAGTGACTTCTAGCTCAACTCCTTCTAGCATAATTCTACTCCTTCTAGCATGAACAGCTCTACAACTGATTCCAGTTACAAGGGTAACCAAGCGTCTGGCATGTCTGATTTTATCATAAACAGTTAAAACCTACTATTGAAACATGAAAACCATAATTATCTCAATTTTCAATTTTTGTGACTTATCCCCTTTTAGCATGAACCGATTCATTTGTAGTATATATATAGTAAGAAATAAAGTTTAGTATGGGGCGGTACTTGAGATAATCATAGATAAGTATCTGACTTTATGAAAATCCCGGAAATTTTTTTTCTATGATAATCCCGGAAAGTTATTTTCTTAAAAAGTCATCGCATTTAACTGACAAACGGAATTTAGATTATTTTAAAACGGAATTTAGATTATTTAACTTTTTACAAAAAGGAATTTCTAATATTCGAAAAAGTTTTTATGAATTAAAAAGCAAAAAAAAAAAAAAAAAAAAAGCAAAAAATTGTTACGAAAATTGATCTCGTGAAAATTTAAAATTTTAGAAAACGTATTTATTTAAATGCAAAAATTGTCGTATGCAAAGTTTTATGTAAAAATATATTAATTTTTTTTCAAATTAATATCAAAAAAATTTATGGAAAAATTAAAGGTATTTTAAGTGAATTGCCGGAATTCCGGGAAAAACTCATCTATGAGAGATAATCACTGATGTTCAAAAACTACAGCAAAATCTGTTGTTTAATTGATAATTATCATAAAAGTTGTATAAAAACTGTTCAAAAATTCACCGTTTTTATACAACTTTTATGATAATTATCCAATTTTCTTTCTGAAATACTATTATTTTTAGCCAGACCAATGTATTTTTAAGTAAGCTTTTTATCCCTTATTGTTAAATAATAATTTTCTAAGTTATATCAATAATCTTTTTTTTTTTAATCGCTTATTTCCGAGTATACTCAAAAACTTTGTTAGGTTTTTTTTCCTTCCAAATTCTTTGCATTGCTGTATCTTTTTAAATAGACAAAAACTTTAGCTTCTTTTTTTTTATATACTTAAATCAGCAAGCCATTTAAGTATAGAAATATTTAATAAAATTTTAATTTCAAAACATTTTAATATTTTACTCATGTCCACCATTTAAACCACTGTGTATTCCATCCTAATTTCTAAAAATTCTTATATTTACATATTATGTAAATAAAATAATTTTATATGCTTCTGACGGTAATTACCAACAAGATCGTCAGTATCTACACCTAATGATATATAAACTTATCTAAATTATTCAAGTAACAATGATCTTAAAAATTTACATTTTTAGTTGTTTAGTAGATCGCATTTTTTTAAGTATTGCCGATAAAAAGTATAAGAATCTTCTTAAAATTGAGGGAATATGAAAAATAAAAAGTATAAGAATCTTCTTAAAAGTGAGGGAATATGAAAAATAAAAAGTATAAGAACCTTCATAAAAGTGAGTATGAAAAATAAAAAGTATAAGAATCTTCTTAAAAGTGAGGGAATATGAAAAATAAGAGAATTAAAACAATTGTTGTTACTTTTCTTTTTTACAATTGACAAAATAATTGTCTTATTGTTTAAGGAGCCTAAACATCAAACAAAAGGTGTTTATCTTTAATAGCGAATTTTTTTAAAACAAATGAAAAGTTAGACTTTGACTTAAACTTTTTTTAAAAGTTTAAGTAAATTTAACATATATATATTATGAAAATTACTAAACAACATAGTATACAATAATGTTGAATTTGTTTGAAAAATCGTACATTCGAGTATAAATTTTAATAAAGTTTAAAATCTTTACCAACCATACATCGGAGTTGGGATTCTTCGAGTTAACTCTTCTTTTG